CTCGCCCTCCGCCACCGTGTCGATCAGATCCGGACTCACTGCCATTTCCTCCACAAACCGCCCCAACCGTCCTTCTGCTGCCTGCGTGGGTGGTGGGAAGGCAAAGGGAGAGTGAACGGTTCAGTGCCTGCAGCGCGCGCATGTACCCCTCGCCCACCTCGCCTTCCGCCACCGTGTCAATCAGGTCTGGCGACACTGCCATCTCCTCCACAAACCGCCCCAACCGCCCCTCCACTGCCTGCGTGGTTGAAGGATGAGAGGGAAATGGCATGGCTTTGCGGAAGGGAAAGAGAAACATAGAGAGTGGGGAGAGAAACCTGCAGCACTCAAGTGTACCCCTCGCCCCCCTCCTCATTTTTCAACATCGTCGATTAGACCTTTTAAAATTGGATCCGTGTGCAGCGTACCATACGCGTTCATGTTCACAAGTCCCTCCCCCTCCCCACTCTAGTCCGGTGCTGTGTGTGCAACAACGTACCCTTCTGTTCCTGAGTCGCTGCGCCATTCCCATGGAGCGCTCCTGCAGGTCCTTGATCTCCGCACTCACCGCTCCTAAATCCGCCTGAAGAGATGGGAGAAGAAAAGAAGCGGAGAGGAAAAAATGAGCAGACCAACCAGTTCAGCACCAGCGCTACCGCTCCCCTTCATGCAATCCTGAAGGGAACTCAATCCAATCATCCCCTCTCTCCATGCCTCCTCCTGCTTAAACTCTTCTCCCAATACTTACCTGGAATCCCCCCAGCAGGGACTCCATGTGGGTCAAAGTCCTTGATCTGAGGTAATGGTGATCTTGTAGTCAGCAACACGACAACTGCGCCAGCAGGTTGCGGCTCTCCTCTCCTCTCCTCTCCTCTCCTTTTGAGACGTCTCAAAAGTCGTCTACTTACACAGCAGGTTGCGGCTCTCCTCTCCTCTCCTCTCCTCTCCTCTCCTCTCCTCTCCTCTCCTTCGTCTAGTCCTGAATCAAAACCATTTCAATCACACCCTGCGCACCCCACTTTTCCCTCTTGCCTACTGCTTTCCGCACCTGGAATCCCCCAAGCAGCGATTCCATGTGCGTAAGCACAAGGTTACAGTTCTTGATTTGAGCGTGCAGTGCCAGCAGGTTGTTGTCGCTCTCCTCACCTCTCCTTCATGTAGTCCTGAATCGACTCCAGGACAATCAATCAACACCCCCCACCCCGAGCTTCCTGCTTAAACTGTTCTTCCCATTCATACCTGGAAGCCCCCAAGGAGCGACTCCACGTGGGTGAGCACAAGGTCACAGTCCTTGATCTGAGCGTGCAGCGCCAGCAGGTTGTCGCTCTCCTCTCCGCTCCTTCATGTACTTCTGAATCGAATCCAATCCAATCAGCCCACCCAAGATTCTATGTAATGCGTCCTTCCTATCTGTACCTGGAAGCCCCCCAGCAGGGACTCCATGTGGGTGAGCACGAGATCACAATCCTTGATCTGGGCGTGCAGTGCCAGCAGATTGTCGCTCTCCTTCATGTAGTCCTGAGTCGAGTGGATATGAATCAGCCGTTCCCCCACCCCCCTTCCCCCCTTGTGCCTCCTTTTCCGCATACCTGGAAGCCCCCAAGGAGGGACTCCATGTGCGTGAGCACGAGGTCACAGTCTTTGATTTGAGCGTGCAGCGCCAGAAGGTTGTCGCTCTCCTTCATGTAGTCCTGAATCGAGTGGATATGAATCAGCCGCCCCCCCACCCGCCTTCTCCCCTCGTGCCTCCTTTCCGCTTACCTGGAAGCCCCCGAGGAGGGACTCCATGTGGGTGAGCACGAGGTCACAGTCCTTGATCTGAGCGTGCAGTGCCAGAAGGTTGTCGCTCTCCTTCATGTAGTCCTGAATTGACTCTAGCTCCACCTGCCTCAGCTTCTCCTCCACCTCCCGTGCAAACTCACGCAGGTCGCTGCCTTGACCCAGGATGTTGGACACGACCTGGAAGGATGAGAAGAGGAAGAAGGTAAACATTCAAAGCCCTATATGTGGAGGGTGTGAGAACTGGATAGATTCCAGCTCCACCTGCCTCAGCTTCTCCTCCACCTCCCGTGCAAACTCACGCAGGTCGCTACCTTGACCCAGGATGTTGGACACGACCTGGAAGGACGAGAAGAGGAAGAAGGTAAACAGTCAAAGCCCTATTTGTGGAGGGTGTGAGAACTGGATAGATTTCAGCTCCACCTGCCTCAGCTTCTCCTCCACCTCCCGAGCACTCGCCTTGACCCAGGATATTAGACACAACCTGGAAAGGCGAGACGGAGAGAAAGAGATGCAGGAAAAAAGTGTCGCATCCCATTCCTTGGATAAGGAATCTGGATTGACATCAAATTATTGACTACTGGTGGCAGATAGTCCTAAAAATGTTAAGATGGTAAAACTTCCACTACTCAGTTGGATCACCTCAGGAGTCAGGACTGACCTCGTGGTCCTTAAACCGATCCAGGTCCTCCCGAAGCCCTTGAAGAAATGACTCGTCCCTGCAGGAAGAGAACGGTCAGAGACGCAGAACACCGAGAAAAATGTCAGAGGAGAGAAGGGGCACTATCTAATTATTGTGCGTACGTTAAAGGTACAGAGAGGTAGCCAATGAAAGGGCATATGAGGCACGGCCTGGCTGAACACCAAACACACACAAGGACACGGCCCAGCCCAGCCAACCCGTCACTCCTGTTACATTTTTCCTGCTGCCATGACTTCACATGCAAACGATAAGGGAGCAGGTTCGGTAACGATAGTCTTGCTTGTAACGGCTCCGTGCCTCCAGAGGCTTGGTGCTCAAAGCCTCTGGGCCTCAACAACAATGTCGCTAAATGCTCTATAGCTCAGCGGCTCCGTGCTCACTCACACAGCAACATCTTCGCCGAAAGTCAGGTCGCCTCCTGTTGTGTGCAGTGCAGACCCCATGGCATCATCCTGGATTTATTGGGCAAGAGAGAAGGCAGTTAACTTTGTTAGCATGCCTGTATACCGCTACTAGCTTCCCGTTTCCACGTTGCCGAATCATTGTTAGAGCCAAACAGTTGACCCGTAACAAAAAGAATCTTCTTCAGAAACTGTACAGCCAGCTCTTTAATTAATCGAACCTTCAATGCCACTGCTTACTGAATCGTCGTCGGAACCGAATAGCTCGTCCAGCAATTGAGCAGCCAGTTCTTCCGAGGATAGCTGCTGCGGAACCGACGACCTTCTCTCCTCGGCCGAATCAGGACCACCCTGACTTGTCATCGCTGCAGAGCCTAGGCTTGCTGGTGGTAGTGACCCTGGATTCGCGAACAACGCTTGCGGACTCGCGACAGTCGCCATTGACTGGCTGCGATCTGCGTGACTGATCCGACGGCTTTGACGGTCTGCAGTCTAACTCAGTAAGTCAACCTTTTATAGAAATCGCAGTAGTTAGGCTTTCTGATCACTAGGCCTAAACGCAGTTCCAGGCGCAACGGAACAAGGTTCAGAACATCGTAGCGGTACAGGTGACGACTAGAGTGTACCGCTCGAGAACCTCCCGACAAGCGAGATGGCGGAGGAATTCTAGGACATGCTAGGCTGGTGTGTGGGATTACCTGAACCAGGTAGCCTTGATTTTGACGAGGCTGGCCTGACCTGAAGTATCAAATGACAAGGCCTCTATAAGAAGGAAACCGTTATTCCATTAAATAACCGATTCCAGCCATTGTCCGCATGTACCTTCAATTATGGTATAGATACGAGTACAACAGAACCATTAGAAGCACTCTACTTGAAAATGGTAAAACAAATGTTTAAACGCCAAGAAATTACACGAGGATATCGATTACCATGTTTATTATGTTTTTTTCCTGGCGGGATATCATATCACTGTGCGAAAAAATGCACCCAGTATAGAAAGGCTATATTATCCATGGAATCCGTATGTAACATTCTATGCAACAATAAGAACCATGCTACAACATTAAGGGACCTGCTTGTAGATGAGAAGGGGGTGACAACCTCCAGTGGTAACTGATCAGCACGCGATGCCACAAACCGCCTCAGAGACAAGGCGTGAAGTAGGCGTGAGAAAGGCGTCATAGCACAGGCAGAATCATCTAGGCGTGAGGAGCTCCCAAAGCCTGTCGTTTTGTTTGGCAGTTCTGCAGCATGCCGGAAGTGGGATGCGGGATGTTGACGGGATTTTACAGAAGTGGACGGGATTCGTTTGGGTGCTTCTTCGAGATGTCTGAGTTCAAAGGGCCCTCGACACCTCGAGACTCAGCCTCGACATCCCCGATCCCTTGGGGATGTCGAGGGGTGTTGAAAGTGCTTAGTGCGGGCAGGGAAACGGGCAAAAAACGGGAAATCCAGCGAATAGAAACGGCCATAGTCAAATTTGGGGCACTCCACTCATCCCCCAACATCGATTCAGGGCACATTCACCCCGTGGTATAAGTGACATAAGCGGAGAGCACATGTCAGAACGCCTGAAGTTCGTCGATTTGCTGGATATCAATGGCTGTCGTTTGAGAAATGTGGACACAAGCGGATACCAGATAACCGGATTAGTTCGGAACAGATGTGCTTCACATCAGCTCACTGGCACTGCTTGTGCTGGTGGGGCTACTGATGGGGGCTCTGCTGCTGGTGAGCAAGTGTGAAATTGAGCCTATTTAAAAACAAGAATTTGACCTCATTCGGAACAGTCTGGCCTAGTGCAGATTGTCCTATGTCGGCCCTGAAACACTCTTTTAGAGCAGAGTCTTCTAGGTCGGACCTGGAACGCCCACCCAAAGCAGATTTTCCTTCGCCGCTAGAGTACACCTAGGGGAAGACTGTCCTACGCCAGAATTCAAACACTCTCAACAAGATATTTTTTTTGGGGTCGTACCGTACCGTACTTGGTGAACACTCTTCTAGAGTGCTGAGAGCCATGGATAACCAGTTCGGTTTCCATAGAGGAGGCGGCAGGGGAAGAGGCTGGAACCATGGCGGACGGGGAATCTTAGGAGGCAGAGGAGGGCGGCAATCTGATAATCAGTATCAGAATCATGGGGGAAGCCGCGGACGGGGGGGAGGTGAGAGAGGAAGAGGAGGAAGAGGAGGAGGAGAAGGTAGAGGAGGAGGGAGAGGAGGGGGAGGGGGGAGAGGAGGAGGAGGGGGGGAAGGAGGGGGAGGAGGAAGAGGCGGAACGTCCAGTTCAGACGGACATGAGAGGAGGGGGGGGCCTACCCTGTGGTCTTTCCTACCGAACGACAGAGATTTCCTGAATCAGTCTCAGATGAGGACTTTCGTCAACGCGATGCAAGCTCATGACGCTTCAGGTACTTAACAATTTTAACATTTTTTTCAACCATCACATGATGACAGATTGTCCTTTGGAGCGTTGCTACTGCTGCTTTCAAGTTCTCAGTCAACGATACTGACATCACGAATTTATTTATGTGAATTCCAACCGTTTCTGCAGATCTGGTCATTGTGCTGGCTGACGACAAGCTCTTTGGCAGAAAGAAGGTGGTTAGCATCTGCAGGGAGGCCGTGGCTTGCGGTCCTTCAAGATCCGTGTCTGCTGGGAATCACAGCCGATTCGTTTCCTTCCAAGGCGTGATTCTTCCGATGCTTAGGGTCATCTGCCAGGTAACATCCTGCGATTTTGTATGCAGTTTCGCTACAGCATGGTATGTCTTTTTGCTCTAATTCATTCTTTAAGCTTCCTAAAAAACTCAAATGAGTTTTCTGCGTTTCATTCTTGAAAATGGTGCTTTGCAGCCGGAGTTTTTCAACAATCCTGCATCGAGCAAGGTCAACGTTACCCTAGCAGCAATCGTCGAGGTGGAAGGTCTTCAGGAGTACCTAATCGGCTGCATGCGCCTCCTAACCCAACGCGGGATGATCCGCGATCTGTCACGGGACGACGACAATATCAACGACTGGGACGCGGCATTCCACGTCATCATCAGCTTCTTCAACCTCACCATGGACCGATTCTATTCTCTCTTCGACGCCGCACAAGCTAGTAATGACATGCAGGAGGTGGAAGGCATGCTGGAGAAATGGCAGAGAGAGAAGCCGGTGTTTGATGGGAGGTACCACAGCATTCGGTCGGTGATCTACAGGCTAAGGAAGTCGCTGGATAGGCGGCAGCACAGTGAGAGGCAGCGGCAGAGGATGGAGGAAGGGCAGCTGCTGCATGCCGAGTTCTTCCCCTCAGGTTCGTTTGTTTTGTGCGTTTGCATGTTGAGTTTTAGAATGTCTCAAAAGTCGCTGGATAGGCGGCAGCACAGTGAGAGACAGCGGCAGAGGATGGAGGAAGGGCAGCTCCTGCATGCCGAGTTCTTCCCTTCAGGTTCGTTCGTGCAGTGCCGTGAGCTGCTGCTTTGATCAGATGTTGATGTGAAATGTTTGACATAAGACAGATGATTATCGCCAAATTTGATGTTCATGACACAAATGATTTGAAATTCTGGCTGCTGTGAACCATGTGTCGTGCAGGTCAGCATCCGTCCAGCATGCAAGCTGTGGATGGTCCGGGCGAGCTCAGCTTGGATGGCCGCCCCCGGCATGACAACGACCACCTTGAAATCTCAGCCGTAAGATGCTCTGATGTAATTGACATGGCAATCGTTCTAGATCATGTTCTCCACGAGGGCTGTGGATGGTCCGGGCGAGCTCAGCTTGGATGGCCGCCCAAGGCATGACAACGACCATTTTGAGATTTCAGCTGTAAGATTATGGTCATCGTCTGATCTGATGTACTTGGCATGGCAGTCATTGATGACAATAAAACCATTTCTGGTTTGATCCTAATATTTTTTTTTCATGAGTTTCTCCTCCCTTGATCAGTTGATGCCTGATATGAGGCTCCTGTCCTGATGATTTTCTCTTCTGTGACCAAACGCCGGCTGTCCTGATGATTCGTATTCTCCGAGACCAGACTCCTCCTGGCCTTTATGTCCTTCTTTGCCTGACTCCAGAACTCAGTGGCGCCAATGATGGAGGAGGTGTTGTGCAAGGCCTTGCCCCCTACCTGCCGCAAGTTTACCCCAACGAGCCGCACCACCTGCCATCGGGGTGTTCGAGGGGAAATCAGACCAGACTCCTCCTCTCCCAATACCTCCTCCCTTGCCTGAATCCAGATTTCGGTGGCTCCTACGATGGGCAAGGTTCTGTGCAAGTCCTCGCCATACCTGCAGCACAACCAACCCAACGAGCCCCACCACCTGCCAGCAGGGTGTTCGAGATATCTAAAAAAAACTCTGAGAGACCAGGCCAGACGCCTCCTGTCCTGATACCTTTCCCCTTGCCCGATTCCAGGTCTCAGTGGCGCCAACGATGGAGGAGGTGCTCTGCAAGGCGTCGCCCTACCTGCCACACAACCGCCCAAGCGAGCCCCACCACCTGCCAGCTGGCTCGGTGGCCCGCCACGTGGACATCCAATTCCGCCTGCTCCGCCACGACCTGATTGCCCCCCTCTGGAGCGAGGCGCTCTTCCTCTTCCACTGAACTCCTTTGGTCCTAATGCATCCTCTTGTCCTATTATCTCTCCGCCGTTGGCCCAACTCCAGATCTCAGTGGCACCAACGATGGAGGAGGTGCTCTGCAAAGCGTCGCCCTACCTGCCACACAACCACCCCAGCGAGCCGCACCACCTGCCAGCGGGCTCTGTGGCCCGCCATGTGGACATCCAGTTCCGCCTGCTCCGCCACGACCTGATTGCCCCCCTCTGGAGCAAGGCGCTCTTCCTCTTCCACCGCCTCAATCACGAATCCTCCTCCCTTAATGCTCGTGGCGGGAGCAGCAGCGGGAGCAGCGGCAGCGGTGGTGGAAGGGAGGATGCGATGGGGCTGTTGAGGGCGGACAGGGAGTTGGTGCGGGGTCTGACGGACGACATGAAGGGTGTGGTGGGGTTTTCATCGGAGGACATGGACGTGTATCTGCTGCGGGATGTGCACGTGCTGTCCATCAACACGGACAAGAGGAGCGGAGTTTACTTTCTCATCGACTTCCTTGAGCCTCCCATGCCGCGGGGCCGGAATGCCCGTAACAGGTAACTCAAGGTTAGGCATCTCACCCATGTAATTTATGCCTGAATGGAATGTGCTCCAGTCTTGGTCCAACGGAGGATATGAAGGGCGTGGTGGGGTTTTCTTCCGAGGACATGGACATGTATCTGCTGTGCGATGTGTGTGTGTTGTCCATTAACACGGACAAGAGGAGCGGCGTGTACTTTCTGATCGACTTCCTTGAGCCTCCCATGCCGCGGGGCCGGCATGCTCGTAACAGGTAACCCGCCCTTGCACTCAAAACCTTGTACAAGAGGAGCGGGGTTTATTTTCTGATTAATTTCCGAGAGTCCCATGCCACGGGGACTGCGCGCTCGTAACAGGTAACCCCCGTTTTAGCCTAAGTGGTTCAATCATGCTCAAGCATGTGGCGGCCCTGGTTGGCTGTTGCGGCGTTCTGGTTGTCTGTGATAGTTTTGGACAGTCTGTGCCTATCCACTTTCTCACGTCCTCCTTGTGTTTCCTTTCAGGGTGGAGTTTTGGGACAACACGCGGAGGCTGCAGAACGGCTCGCTGGTCTGCCTGTGGATTCGAGACACCCAGCGCAGCAGGCAGGCAGCAGCAGGCAGCACTCGCAGGCAGCAGCCGCTCCCCCCTGCGGGAGACACTTCAGCGAGCGACTCTTCCTCCCACCGGCTCGTCTTCGCCACCATCACGGCCCGCGACACAAAGAGGCTTGCCACTGCCAGGCCGCAGATTGGAGTTCAGCCGTGTGGAGAGAACGGGTTCAGTGCGGATTTGCTGGGGCTGATTGCTCAGGACGGCAGTGGGGGCAGAGGCGGGAGTAAGGGCGTACAGGTGGTGATGTTGGAGGCGCATGGGAGTTTTTTTGCGTATGAGCCGATTCTGAAGGCGCTGCAGAGCATCACTGACGCGTCGCTGCCCTTCTCTGAGTACATCTGTGGGGCAGCTGGCGGATCACCTGGTGGGGCACCTGGAGGGGCACCTGGGAGGGCACCTGGAGCGTACAAGCTGCCTGCGTACATCAAAGGGGGCATGACGTAAGTGGGAAAGGGGGGAATGAGGGGGGCCTGCAATGGGATGCTGGAGTAGAGGGGCTGAATGGGAGGAGCTGAATGGGGCTGTGGTGGGTGGGGAGACTCAGCTACCTTACGCAAGTAGGTCGTGCATAGGACGTGCTCCAGCAGGTGGCGCCCTTCGCGGTCAGTGCCTCCCTCCAGCAGGCACAGACCGCTCCAGCATGTGCCCTTCGTGTTGATTCAGAAGCCCAATACCTTCCCGTCATTAATACAGTGCCGTGTGTGTGTGTGTGTGTGTGTGCGTGCGTGCGTGCGTGCGTGCGTGCGTGCGTGCGTGCGTGTGCGTGCGTGTGTGTGCGTGTGTGTCCGTGTCGTTGTTGTGTGTTCCCTTGCTTGCTTGCAGGTACGACTTAAGCCTGCTGCTCAAGACCAAAGTGCCCTCCTCCTCCTCCCAGCAGCCACAGAACACCGCAGAAGACGAGTTTGCCATGAGGAACGTGATGATTTCCAGCCCCACGGCCTTTCCCATGGATGCGCTCCTGCGCTGCACGTCGCTGGACGAACCTCAATCCGTGGCTCTGCGAGCTGCCCTCACTCAGGAGTTCGCTCTGCTGCAAGGGCCCCCGGGAACTGGCAAGGTGGGTTGTGTGAGCACGTGAGTGGTGAGGCGACTCAAAATTGGGTGAATGTAGAAATTGACGAGCTGTGACATCTAGCTGAGAGGCTAAGAAGCATCGCTGGACCAACCCCAAGCTGCGGCGCTCCAGGCTGCCCTCACTCAGGAGTTCGCTCAGGTGAGAGGGAAGTAGTTGAGAAGGGGGCAGGTGAGAGGGGGGTAGGTGAGAGAGGGACAGGCTGGCAAGGTGGGTCGGTCAAAAACCAGAGTCTTCGTTTTGCTCTGAACTGCGATTATGTATTGCAAACCCGTGTTTAAGTTTTGTGCAGGCTTTACACAAAAGCTCGTGCAGGCTTTACACAAAAGCTCGTGCAGGCTTTACACAAAAGCTCATTCCTATGGTGCTGTGGGCATGCTATGCTGCACACTTTCTTGTATATTCACGTGGTGGCAGACGTTCGTGGGGATCAAACTTGTGGAGATTCTGCTGAGCAATCCACTCAAGAGCAGCTCGGCAGGTCATTTTGCTCGAGGCAGGGAGCTGGCGAGTTCCGCAGGGCCCATCCTGTGCGTGTGCTTCACCAACCACGCTCTGGATCAGTTCCTGGAAGGCCTCATCGCAAGCGGCATCAAGAACGTGAGTTGAAAAGCTTTGCAGGTTCGTGCTGGGATGGCTGGGTAGAGAGTCCCATCCCTCCTGCAAGTCCCATCCTGCGTGTGCTTCACCAACCACGCTCTGGATCAGTTCCTGGAAGGCCTCATCGCCAGCGGTATCAAGAACGTGAGTTATAGACTGGGTTCCACTGGAATCGATTCATGCATGTTTTGCTGTAGGTTGGGTTTTGTGGCCCATGAATGGGTCATTGGCAGGTTGAGTTGTCCTACGAGCCCTCTGTCTCTTCGTGCAATGACTTTGGTCTGGGACTTCTGCTGTGGTTTTTGTTTATGCCTCTTGTGCAGGTGGTGCGAGTGGGAGGAAGGAGCAAGTCGGAGGTTTTGCAAGAGTACAACCTCCTCAACATCATCCGAAACTCGAATTTGGATCGCAGCAGAAGTGAGCACCACAGCACTGCACGGCACTAATTCCTTCCTTTTTTTTTTTTTTTTTACTGTTGATATGCCTTGAACTGGAAACTTGTGACACAAACGAACTACTTGTATTGTGAAGATTGGGCTCATTCTCAGTTACCTGACAAGTCATGTTTGTGTGTGTGTGTGTGCGTCTGTCGGTGTGTGAGAGCAGCGTACAGGCAGTCAAGCTATGAGGTGGGAAGCAAGCTAAGGGAGGTGGAGGAGGTGATAGGCACGTACAGCAACGCCCTGCAGCAGCGCAGCGACAACGTGGCGGCGGTGGCGTGGGGTACTCTTTCCTCCCACCTCATGGCCAACCACCCCGTCTACTTCCAAGCGCTCCGCACCAGCAAGGCAGATGCCGATGGTTATGAGGTAAGCATGTGTGTGTGTGGGTGGGTGGACCGTGGAAGGGCGGGTGGGCGGCTGTGGCGTGGGGTACTCTCTCCTCCCACCTGATGGCCAATCACCCGCTCTTCTTCCAGGCTCTGCGCACCACCAGCAAGGCAGATGCCGATGGTTATGAGGTAAGCATGTGTGTGTGTGGAAGTGGGTGGAAGGGGGGATGGGCGGCTCTGGCGTGGGGTACTCTCTCCTCCCACCTCATGGCCAACCACCCCGTCTACTTCCAAGCGCTCCTTACTGTCAGCAAGGCAGACAAGGATGGGTTTGATGTGCGTGCGTGGGTGGGTGATTGGTGGGTGGGTGAAAGGGCGGAAAGATGTATTCTACGTTGACTCAATGCACCTTATGGCTTTCACCCTGTGTTCTTTGACGTGCACTGCACCACCCATGTCACAATTGTTGTGGAGGTTGCTTGCGTGGGATAGCACACCATACATGTGTGGGCCTGGCTTTGGTTCTTTGTTAGTTTTTCCCTGGGAAAAGACCAGTCTAGTTCTTGATGTTATCACCCCGCTTCCCTGTTCTGTTGGCTGCAAGTGTTGCGAGACAATGGGAACCGGTGGTGCCCAAGGAAAGTGGCGATTCAGAGGCTCCTTACGAATCAGGTCATGAAACATCCCCTGCTTCTGACTGCTGCACCTCGTTCTCTTGGTCCCGTTTTTGTTCCCGTCTTGGCAGCAAGTGGGGCGTGACAACTGGAAGCGGTGGAAGCAAGGCCTGCCCAAGGAAACCCTGCGCCGCAAGAAGGGTGCTGCTGACATGTGGGGAGATCAGGGTCATGCATCCGGCAGGGGGAAGGGAGGCGGAGGGGGAAGGGCAGGAGGGCCGCCACAGGGAGGGGGAGTGGGCGCAGGGGGAGTGGGGATAGCTGCTTCTGGACAACAGGCAGGTATACAGAACGCGTTTGATGCCCTGGGATTTCTTGGAGAGTTCGAGGTGGGGGAGGGGTGGGCGGGCGCAAGCAGTGCTAGGGACGGTGGAGTGAGTGACGAGCTGAGCGAAATGGTGGGCATGATGGCTACTTTCTACGAGGGGGATGGCAGCGGTGATGGGGATGAGGCGGCAGGCACGGACGGCTCATGGCTGGGCCTTGTGCCGACAGGGAGAGCGAGTGGGGCAGGCAGGGCAGGAGGGGCGGCAGGGGCAGGAGGGTTTCCTGTGGAGCAGGATCTCTCACATGCGTTCGGTGACTTGGGCATTCACAACGGCAGGCAAGGCCACGGCACAAATCAACCCCATTGTCAAGGCAGTAGCAAGGGGAAGAAGGGCGGCAGGCAGGAGCACAGGAGCAAGGGGAAGGAGGAGGAGGTGGTGGAGGAGGAGGTGTGGACGGGACCGGAGGTGGATGAGAGAAGTGACAGGGGGGTGGAGGAGCTGTTGGGGTTGGAGGACCCGTGGGCTACGAGCGGGCGGGAGAGAAGGAAGCTGGTGGAGAGCTGGGTGGGAGAGCTGCGCGCCACTGCCACTGCTGCTATCGAGGCCGAGGTGGCGAATTACTCCAGGTATGGGCCCCTTACTAAGGGGTGTGTGTGGCTGCTGGGCGGGTGAGCTGCGCGCCACTGCCACTGCTGCCATTGCGGCCGAGGTTGCAAATTACTCCAGGTGTGTGTGCTGCTGGTTCTGTTGGTGAGTTGAAATTGCTCAAGCCTCAAGCAGTTGAGCCTCAAGCAGTTGAGCCTCAAGCAGTTTGTGGCTGCTGGATGGGGAAGCTGCGCGCCACTGCCACTTCCGCCATTGAGGCTGAGGTGGCGAGCTATGCAAGGTCTGGGTGTTTAGGGTGGTGCCAAATGTGGAGCAGATGGCATGGGAGTTGGGTGGTGGAGTTGCCACGTGATAAGAGTGAAGTTTTGAGACGTCTCAAAACTTCACTCTGATCAAATGTGGAGTGGATGGCATGGGTGTTGGTGGTGGAGTAGCAGGTGGAATACCTGGAGCCTGCAGGCTGGTCTTTCTCAGTAATATTAAGCTGTTCCACCTGTGCATTTGCCTTGTGTTTGTGCATCCGGCGTGTGCAGGAAGGTGAGAGGGAGCGCAGTGAGTTACAGCGGGTGGAAGACGTGCAGGTGCTCAAGAGGGCGCAGGTGGTGGGCATGACCTTCAAGCCGGTCCCACCCACACAGTCATTCTAAGCTGTTCAGCGTGTGCGCCCGTCTGCTTGTGTGTGTGTGCCTGTCTGCTTGTGCGTGCGTGTGTGTGTGGTGTGAATTCGGAACGTGCAGGAAGGTGAGGGAGCGCAGTGAGCTGCAGCAGGTGGAGGATCTGCAGGTGCTGAGGAGGGCGCAGGTGGTGGGCATGACCTGCAAGCTCTCCCCACACAGTCATTCTAAGCTGAAATGCATGCGTGTATGTGCCCGTCTGCCTGTGTGTGTGCAGAGGAAGGTGAGGGAGCGCAGTGAGCTGTAGCAGGTGGAGGACCTGCCGGTGCTGAGGAGGGCGCAGGTGGTGGGGCTGATTTCCAAGCTGGCCCCACGCACACAGTAATTCTAAGCTGTTCTGCGTGTGTGCCCGTCTGCTTGTGCGTGTGTGTGGTGTGAATTCGGAACATGTAGGAAGGTGAGGGAGCGCAGTGAGCTACAGCAGGTGGAGGACCTCTAGGTGCTGAGGAGTGCGCAGGTGGTGGGGTTGATATTCAATCTGGTCCCACCCACCCACACAGTCATTCTCAGTTCTTCTGTGTGCGTGTGTGGTGTGCGTGCGTGCCCGTTTGCGTTTGCCTGTATGTGCAAACGTGCAGGAAGGTGAGGGAGCGCAGTGAGTTGCAGCAGGTGGAGGACCTACAGGTGCTGAGGAGGGCGCAGGTGGTGGGCATGACCACGTCTGGGGTGGCCAAGATGCAGCGCCTCATCACGGCACTTGGCCCGCGAGTCATCATCGTGGAGGAGGCTGCTGAGGTGCTCGAAGCTCATATTCTCACCTCGCTCACTCCGCAGACACAACACGTCATCCTCATAGGTATGACAGGCGGTGTGGTTGTGATTGTGGGTGCTTGACTGGTCGCTCGGTGTTGCAGGCCTAGGTGCAGTTGGTGGGGTGGATAATGACGTCCGGGGACAGGGGTCTATCACGATGGCAAGCCTCAAGGCCAAGATGCAGCTCCTCATCACGGCGCTCGGCCCGCGCGTTGTCATCGTGGAGGAGGCTGCTGAGGTGCTGGAGGCTCATATTCTGACCTCGCTCACCCCACAGACCCAGCACATCATTCTCATAGGTATGGCATGGGCTGTAGCCTGTGGTTGTTGTTGCGGGTACCTCAGTGGTCATGGGTAGCTGCAGCTGCGCCCCAAGGTTGAAGTGTACGAGCTGAGCAAGGACTCTCTTGTTGACCATCTCATCCCTTGGTTGGATTCCTTTCCCTCTATTCATCCCCTTGGAACATGCCAGGCGACCACCTACAGCTGCGGCCCAAGGTGGAGGTGTACGAGCTGAGCAAGGACTCCCACAAGGGCTTCGACCTGGACGTCTCTCTCTTTGAGCGGCTCGCGCTCTCCCGGCAGATCCCCGTGTACACCCTCGCCACGCAGCGCCGCATGCGCCCCGAGATTGCCGACCTCATCCGCTACACCATCTACCCCGACCTCCAAGACCACCCGTTCGTCCAAGGGTACGGTATGGTTACTTGCTTGTTTCTAAGAGGTGAGGCTTCTCCCTATTGGGTTGGGTCATGCCTGTGGTCCCAGTGCCCTCGTTGTCGCCCTTGGCTTCTCCCTCTGGGCTGGGCGAGGACTCCCACAAGGGCTTGGCGCTCTCCAAGCAGATCCCCGTGTACACCCTCGCCATGCAGCGCCGCTTGCGCCCCGAGATTGCTGACCTCATCCGCTACACCATCTACCCTGACCTCAGGGACCACCCGTTCGTGCAAGGGTGCGTATGGTTACTTGCTTTTTGACAGGTGATGTGGCTGTCGAGACATGCCTATTCTCGCAGTGCTCCCAAGGGTGTTTTGAGACGTCTCAAAACACTGTTGAGACATGCCTATTCTCGCAGTGCTCCCAAGGGTGTTTTGAGACGTCTCAAAACACTGTCGAGACATGCCTATTCTCGCAGTGCTCCCAAGGGTATATTTTTCATTGTGTCTGTCTGACATGTCTGCTGCCTTAGCACTGCCGCTGTTTGTCTCACATAGCCCACCTTGATGGCAGCACCATGTATTGGAACCCAACAAACCATTTTTTTTCTTTGTTTCGTTTTTTTTTTTTTTTTGAACTCCTCGGCTCCACTTTTCCTTGCTGTGAGTCTGTGTGCCCATCTCTTTTTCCAGTGCCCATCCATCCCTTTCCCCCCTCCCAAGGTACCCTACCCGGACATACTGCGCATGGGGATCAGTCTGCACACATGGGAATGGTGACCTATCTTCCCTTGGGTATTTCTCACTTCAATATCTCAAACAAATACATCTATAACTCCATTCGTCCATCCCTCCCCTTCTCCCTCTCCTCCTTTTCCCCTCCCCAGGTACCCAGACGTGAGGGGCATGGCGGCCAATCTGCACTTCTGGGACCACAACTTTCCGGAGACCGGAGGGGACGACCTGAGGGAGGGCAAGTCCAAGTCCAACGCGGGCGAGGCAGCCATGGTGGTGGCCCTCGCCACGTATCTCCTGCAGCAGGGGTACACGGGAGGCGAAGTCACCATCCTCACGCCCTATGTGGGCCAGCTGCTGAAGCTGCGCCAGGCGCTTTCTCAGGTGGTGAACGTGCGCCTGGGGGAGGGGGATGCGGAGGTGGTGGAGGAGGCTGAGGAGAAGGCGGCTACCAGGGAAGGTGGAACTGAAGGGGACGAGGCTGGAAATGGGCTGGTTGCGGGGAAGGGGAAGGGGTTGGGGCTGGAGTTTGCTGCGCCTAAGGCGGTTACGGCGAATTTGAAGGATGCGGTCCGGCTGGCCACTGTTGACAAGTAAGTTTGGCCAGAGGGAGGGGAGAGGTCACACTCCTGGTTGTTGGTGTAGTCAACTTGTTCTGTTTTGTGGCATGAGAATGTGAAGATTGTGATGGAGTGCGGTGGGGCGAGGTGGAGGGAGGTTCCCCTACTTATAGTACTGCGACGACTTGTGGTGCAACGGCACTTATAGTAGCGGTTGAGAGGGCGAGGAGAGCACAGCACGGTGGTGGTCATCCCTGTGCAGTCTGGTTTGGCGAATCAGAGTTTTGATGCCTTCTGCTTGGTTTAGCCAGTCGGGGTTTGCTTGTTCATCGTGCCTGCTCATCTCAGTGCGTGCCGAGCAACACTGGTTCTTGCGTTCTCCCGTACTAGTTCCGAGAGAGATGACCACTTTTCGTTATTTTCTTTCTATCTATCTTTATTTTTCATTCTGGTGTGCTAATATGCAGCTTTCAGGGCGAGGAGAGCACGGTGATCATCATCTCCCTTGTACGGAACAACGTGGATGGCAAGATCGGGTTCCTCAAGAGCCCCAACCGCACCAACGTGCTGCTGTCCCGCGCCAAGCACGGCATGTACATCATTGGTGAGTGCAATCTCATACGTGGATTCTGAATTGTGGATGATTGCGTTCATGCAGGGTGGTGTTACATCCATGTCGCACCAACGTGCTGCTCTCCCGTGCCAAGCACGGCATGTACATCATCGGTGAGTGCCACCTTTCAGATGAATAGTGGAGGCTTGTGGTTGATCACATACATGCAGGGTGGTGTTACATCCATGTCGCACCAACGTGCTGCTCTCCCGCGCCAAGCATGGCATGTACATCATTGGTGAGTCATAATCGGTCCTCGCGCCGAGGACCGTGGGCATGCTGCAGAGCAGGGGACACGTTCAGGAGGTCATCCCGCTGCGCTGTGTGAACTCCCCCACTCACACCATAAGGGTTAGCTATAAGCTGGCTGCCTTCTTACTCCCTGCTACCCGGTCCCTTCTCCCTTTCTCCCATCTCCCATCTCCCATCTCCCGTCTCCCATCTCCCGTCTCCCATCTCCCGTCTCCCATCTCCCCGCCAATATCCTCCCTGAGAGCAGGCAACGCCAGCACCATGCGGGCATCTGCGTCCAAGTCGGTCCTCTGGCCTCAGATAATGGACATGCTGGAGAGCAAGGGGCGCGTTCAGAAGTCCATCCCGCTGCGCTGTGTGAACCACCCCGACACGGTGACGCACATCCAGATCGCAACTCTACGTTCTCCTTTCTCCCGTCTCCCTTATTCCCACAAATCTTCTCCTTGTGAGAAGGCAATGCCAGCACCATGAGGGCGGCTACGTCCAAGTCGGTCCTCTGGCCTCGGATAATGGACATGCTGGAGAGCAAGGGGCGCGTGGAAAAGTCCATCCCGCTGCGCTGTGTGAACCACCCCGACACGGTGACACACATTGAGAGAGCCGGGGAGTTTAAGGAGAAGGCCAGCGAGGGCGGATGCTCCCAGATGTGCGGCTTTCGGCTCACTCCCTGCGGCCACACCTGCCCCCGCAGGTCAGAATCTGTGTTCATTTTGAAGTGAGGTTACTTCTGAGTCGACTGAAAAGTCGCAGGGGGGTTCAAGGAGAAGGCCAGCAAGGGCGGTTGCTCCCAGATGTTTGGTTTCCTTCCGACTCACTCTCTACGGCCATACTTGTCTTCGGAGGTCAGAAATACATGCATGCACTTTTTTCTGAACTACTGTGTCATATACGTGCATGCAGCTCATGCTGTAGTCGTCTGAGTTATGTGCATGCAGCTGTTGACTTATGTCCGTGCTTCCAAGCGCAGAAGCTGAAATCTATCGTTTTCTAGAGAGTGTTGCATGATCGTTGTCTGCCTTCCTGCACCCGACAGGTGTCACGGGGACGACAGGGCGCACGCCAATGCGTTCTGCTTTTGAGTCGACTCAAAAAACCTTCCTGCACCCGACAGGTGTCATGGGGACGACAGGGCGCACGCCAATGCGTTCTGCCCCAAGGAGTGCAACCGCATCCGCCCTCTGGAGGAGTGTCCGCACCAGCACACGTGCCCCAAGCAGTGTGGCGAGGCCTGTGGGCCCTGCCTCGTCACCATCCGGGCACTCACTCTCCCCTGTGGCCATCAGGCCTTCAATGTCCCCTGCTTCAAGGCTCAGAACCCCGCCTCCATCTTCTGCTCGTAAGCTACTTAGAATCCCCAAGCAGTGTGGCGAGGCCTGTGGGCCCTGCCTCGTCACCATCCAGGCACTCACACTCCCCTACGGCCATCAGGCCTTCAATGTGCTTTTGAGTCGACTCAAAAGCGTCACCATCCAGGCACTCACACTCCCCTACGGCCATCAGGCCTTCAACGTGCTTTTGAGTCGACTCAAAAGCGTCACCATCCAGGCACTCACACTCCCCTACGGCCATCAGGCCTTCAACGTGCTTTTGAGTCGACTCAAAAGCGTCACCATCCAGGCACTCACACTCCCCTACGGCCATCAGGCCTTCAACGTGCTTTTGAGTCGACTCAAAAGCGTCACCATCCAGGCACTCACACTCCCCTACGGCCATCAGGCCTTCAACGTGCTTTTGAGTCGACTCAAAAGCGTCACCATCCAGGCACTCACACTCCCCTACGGCCATCAGGCCTTCAACGTGCCCTGCTTTAAGGCTCAGAAGCCCTCTTCCATTTTCTGCTCGTGAGATTCTCGGCCCCCTTTTTCCTTGTTTCCTGCTATTGTCTCAATTTGCGGTGTTCCCTGACTCCTGCTTGTTCCCTGGTTAGCCTGTATCCTGCTTTGCCTGTCACACCCTCCAAACATCCCCTCTAATACCCGGCCTTGTTGCTTTCCCCTCTCTCCAGCGTCCCTCCTTCACAAAAGCACAATCTCTCCCACGCCCTCCCCTCTGTGTTACCAGCTTTATGGTGGAGGTCACGATGCCCCTGTGCGGCCACAAGCAGACAGTCAAGTGTGGCGAGGCTGCCACCAGAGTAGCCAACCCCAAGCTCTGCACCGCCCGCTGCGGAGTCTTCCTCTCAGACTCCTGTGGCCACACGTGCATCTCTCCCTGCGGTCACTGTATCGTTGCTCCAGCTAATACTACCACCAACCAGGGGCGTGGTTTACAGCACCAGCTTCACCAGCAGCAGCAGCAGCCGCAGCAGCAGCAGCAGCAGCAACAGCAGCTGGAGAAAACCCACAAGAAGTGCACACAGCCATGCAAGCGGCCCCACCCCTGCGCGCACCTCTGCCCGGACCCCTGCCACAGCGGCACCCCCTGCAAGCCCTGCACTAGAAAGTGCCTCGTGGCCTGCCAGCACAGCTCCTGCCCCCAGCCCTGCCACCGAACCTGCGCGCCCTGCGCCGAGCCTTGCGGGTGGCACTGCAAGCACCAGGGCCGGTGCTCGCTCCCCTGCGGCGCCCCTTGCGACCGCCTCCCGTGCGAGCAGCGGTGCGAGAAAAAACTCAAATGCGGCCACCAATGCCCGTCCCTCTGCTCAGAAAAGTGCCCTCCGAAGGGGTTCTGCACGGTTGAAGGGTGTGGAGAGGAGCAGAAGAGGGAAATGACTGTGGATTTAGTCACGCTGGAGACGCTGGGGGAGATTGATCCGGACGAGAGTCCCGTGCTGGTGCTGCCATGTGGACATGCTTACACTGTGGAGACTCTAGACGGTCACCTGGGGCTGAACCAAGTTTACCAAGAGGCAGAAGATGGGTCTGCTGGTGGCAGCAGTGCTGCTGGAGCGGGGGCTGGAGGCGGGGTGGGAGGATCTGCAGGCAAGTGGGTGGCAGTGCGGCCGTTTGATGATGGCGGTCTGTCCGCTCTCAAGGGCTGCCCGGAGTGCCGCCAGCCGATCACAGGCCTCCGCCGGTACGGCAGGATGGTGAACAAGGCGCTGCTGGACGAATCAGAGCGCAAGTTCGCCCTCAGCTGCCTGGCCGACCAGCAGCAGCTCCAGACAAAGCTGTCCAAGCTGAGCCAGGCCATATCTGCTTGCCCTGAGGCTGCTCAACCCAGGCAGTTGCAGGAGCTGGCCAGAGCTGCGACTTCACTGGTCTTGCAGGCAAACAAGGTGCGAGTGGCGGCTATGGAACCGCCCACCCAGCAGACGTACCAGGCTTCTGTAGCTGCTCTGCAGAGGAAGCACCTCCACTTGGGATCGTTGTCGTCGTCATCTGGAGCAGATGCTGCAGATTCACCTGCAGATGCACCTGAAGCTTCTCCTGAAAAACAACCTGCAGATTCTCCTGCAGGTTTGACAGTGTCAGCGTGGGAGGAGGAGTGCCAGCTGCTGTACGTCCCCCAGCCACAAACCGGGCCCCTCTGTGAAGCCCTCCTGCTGCTGGGGAAAGCCTATCAGCTCCTCATGACTGCCAATTTCCTCCAGCTGCGCTGCCTGCTGACTGAACTCCACAAGCTGTCTCGCCAGAACGCTGCTCGAACTGCTGTGCTGACTGCTGGTCTGGCTGCTGGCCATACTGATAAGAACAGCACGGGTAGAGAGGAGTTTCTGGCTCGCAAGGTAAAAAACTGCAGAGAGGTTGTGCGGAAGGGGCTGCGGAATGCGGAGAGGCATGTGGGGGAGGCGGTGGAGTGGGCTGGGAAGCGCAGGGCGCACCGGCTGGAGGCGAAGGGGAGGCTGGAGATGGCCGATGTGTTCCGTGCGTTCGTGGAGGGGATGATGGCGGAACGCCTGCTCTCAACCTCCCCGGCTGGCCTGGTGAGAACTCTGCTCTGCTCTTACCCTCGACTGCCTCACTCCCACCTTTCCTCATCGTCTCTCCATTCCACCCTACCACCAGTTCTCCATTCCACCTCCTCCCTCCTCCCTTCCCCCCATTTCTTCCCCTCCCCTTTTTGGTTGGGCTTTATGAGCTTGATGTCACATGTTGCTTTTTTGGCAGGATGACTCAAAGGAGCAGCAGCTGGAGTTTCTCGAGAGGGCCAAGATGCAATGCCTCATGGTGGCCTCTCACCATCTGGTGTCAGTGAGAGAGAACGACAGCCTTGGTGGCAGCGCTCGGAGAATGCTCGAGAAAGACCTGCATGAGCTGGAACTATCTGTTCGCGATGAACCTCGGTACTTTGCTGTGACCGAACGCGAGAAGGCTGATGTGTACGAGGCGATAGGCTTGGGAGGGGGTCATTGGTACCGATGCCCGAATGGGCATGTGTACGTCATTGGGGATTGCGGTATGGCAATGCAGGAGTCGCGGTGCCCTGAGTGTGGTGCGGCTGTGGGTGGGGGAAGCCATAGGCTTAGAGCAGACAATACGACTGCCGCTGGTTTCTTCAGCAGGTCATGAGATGATCGTATTGTGGATACCTAGTGTTCTAGTATGGGGTTTGCTCTTACTAAAGCTGATGATTGCATTTGATGATGTGTCTGCTGCGCCTGAGTTCTCAAAATTTGTTTCCCTCTTAGAAAATCCTACGGTACTCTGTGGAGAAACATGGTTTCCTGATCAAAAGTGGGTTGCCTTAGGGTGCGTTTCTATCCCGTGTCAGACACGAAGCCAGACACGAAGTTGAGGTTGGGAAGACCCAAAGGGACTCGGAATGCTGGCAAATTTAGGTTCGGAAGACACAAACCGAGTCACTTCGTAACGCAGGAGGAATAGCCGTTACGGTCCTCGATCCGGATTTATAATTTCCGAACACCCTGCGCATCGGGTATCGTTCGATTGAATCATGGGGTTTTCGAGCCTACTCCCCAAGCAACTGAGTTTAATCGTTGAAGGGAGCTACGTTGCCAGCTACCCTGAGAAATGAAATTACACAAAATAAGAGCCGAGTGACCCCGTAACATTTTCTAGTGGAAGGTATGAAAAGAGGCCGTATCTGGCGTACAGAACCAGCACCACTAGTGGCTGCTTTTCAAGAAGCAACAGAAGCAACCTGTACGTACATCTCAAGGTTTAGGAGGCGAAGTAAACGCCATGCCGAATGATAGAGGTGGTGTTGAGCAGAAACTCACACTTGTTGTACGAACAAGAAAAGCTAGGGCAACGCAAGGATAGAAGAGCACAAGCATTCTTTGGGCTGTGTAACACTAGGATAGCACATTGGTCGATAGGAGCTATTTCAGTTATTGGTACCGCGCACCTATCAGTTCCTGTCACACACCGAAGACCTAGGAGTACGATACGGCACGAGCTTGGGTTTCGCGCATTTCGACGCGCTGAAGTAATGCAATAACGCAGCATTGTCTTGCTTCTTTTGGCGAACGTCTCTAAAGCCGCGTCTTTCGCCCTTGCGTACATTAAACTCTCGTAACCGATGCGTTTTTATTTAAGAGCAACCACTGCTACTTTCTGAACCTTTTTTAAGGTATTTTTCTAGAACCACCAAAAGTCAGGTTTACTGCTTTAGGGTTACCATGGACCGTTACGACGACGACGACGACGATGGCGACGTTTCGCCGGAAGCGTGGGACGTGCGACCGCCGGTACCTGGCAGCCATGGAAAAGCGGGAAGGACGCGAGACAGCAAGGACAAGGCCGGGCGAGTGACTGGGTCTATCAGTGATAAGTCGAGCGAAAGGTCTAGCGAAAGTGGTCGCGGAAAGGATAGAGACAGAGATAGGGATAGGGACAGGGATCGAGTTAGGGATAAGGACAGGGACAGGGACAGAGATAGACACAGGGACAGGGATAGAGATAGAGATAGGGATAGGGATAGGGATAGAGCTAAGGATAGGGATAGGGATAAGGAGTACAGGAGAAGCAGCGGCAGCCGCGATAGGGACAGGGACGAAGAGAGAGAGCGCGAGAGGGTGAGAGATAGAGATTCGAAAGATAAGCCTAAGGATAGGGATCGTTATCGCGACGGAGATAGGGACAGGGACAGAGAGAGGGATAGGGACAGGGAGCGGGAGAGGACGAGAGAGAGGGTAGACCGATTCGAGGGGGATCGCGACGGCAGTCGGGACAGAGAACGGAGGGAGAGAGAAGGGAAGGATCGGGAAAGGCGGGACAGAGATAAGGATAGGGAACGGGAGCGAGGCAGGGATAGGGACTATGAAGTGAAGGATAGGGATAGGGAACGGAAGAGCGATCGAGTGCGGGAACGGGAGAGAGGCAGGGACGGAGAGAGGGAACGAGAGAGGGAAAGCCGGAGAGAGAAGGAGCGGGATCGACCCAAGGACAGGGACAGAGAGAGGGAGAGGGAGAGGATGCATGGAGAAGCAGGGAAGGAGAGGAGGAGTTCCGGAAGGCATGGCGTGCCGTCGTGCTCGTCAATGGAGGAGCGCGGGTCGCAGGTGAGCCGCGCGGGTGCTTGTGTTGTGAAAGGTCTCAAAGGCTTGCGACTTTTGAGACGTCTCGCAGGTGTTCATGGGTCGCAGGTGAGCGGTGCGGGTGATTGTAGTCACAATCAGCTGCACAGCACGCATCAGCAGCAGCACCAGCACGCATCAACACGCACCAAGTGACACTGATGCACATGTGACGAGCGAAATGTATTGCACCGCACTGCACTGCACTGCAGTGCACACACCCTGTTCGTCTAATCATTGGCACTTTCCCTTCATCCTCATTCCCCTCCTCTCCCCCCACCCCCCCCCACACAGAGGCACGCCAGCCGCACGTCGAGCACCAAAAGTGACTCTTGGTTCGACTCAAAAGTCACTTGCCCTCCGATCCCACCTTCCCCTCCCCCCCCCCTTCACCACACAGAGGCACGCCAGTCGCACGTCAAGCACCAAAAGTGACTCAAGCAAGCGTTCTAGTAGAGGGCGCGACCACCTTGACGCGAGAGAGTCATATGAGGATGACTATAGAGGGGGGGCGCATGGGGGAAGCAGGAAGGCAGGAGGGTCGAGTGGGGGAAGAAGGTCAGGAGGAGCAGGGAGTATAGGCATTCCTGTGGTTGACGAGGTGGGTGTTTACCTTAGCGGATCAGGCAATTGGGGGAACAGAGGTGGGCGGGGAGAGTCCGATTTGTCGCCAACAGATTCCTCGCCTGAACATTCACCTGAACATTCTCCTGAGCGGTCTCCTGTCCGATCCTCTCACCGGTCCCCGGACTGGCTGTCAGACCACTCTCCCATCAGTTCCCCCGGCCAGTCGTCTCCTGTGCGCTCCTCTCACCATTCGTCCAACCGGTCCCCGAACCTAACCCCGGACCAAACCCCCGAGCACTCGCCGAACCAGACGCCGGACATGTCTCCAAGCTACAGAGGTTTGGAAGAGCAGGAATACTCTCCTTCTGCCCAGCATCACCAGCATGAGCAGCAGCAGCAGGCTTATCCCTATGCTGATCAGTTTTCCCCGTCCTCTCCTGATGGGTTCTCTTTTAGAACAGCAGGAGCAGCAGGAGCAGGGGGGCAGGTCGGGGGAAGAGGGGGAGCAGGAGGGGGCCCGGGAGGGGGAGGAGGAGGAATGGGTGAGGGTTTCGATGCATCCTCAATTCCCCTGATGGTGGCTGGGGCTGTGATGGCAGGTCCTGGTAGGGTGGCGCTGCCTGCTGTTCGTCCCAGCAACCGCACTCCGTTGAGAACACCTGTGGATTCACCTGAGATTTCACCTGTGGGCTCCCCTCAAAGGTCCCTGTACCAAGCCTCGGTGCTAGGCTCGGGAGAGGAGTACCCGTATGGCTCGGAGGCGTCCGAGCCAGGACAGCAGGAATGGCACCAGCAGCAGCAGCAGCACCAGCAATACCACCACCAACACTCCCACACGTCACCAGCAGCAGGAGGAGGAAGAGCAGCAGCAGCAGCAGGAATGGCAGTGGGTGGTTATGGTGGTAACCCTATTGGTGGTAACAGGCGCGCAGGTAACCCCAGAGGCGGCAGCTCTGGTGCGGCTGCGGCAGCAGCGGCTTTCCCCAAGTCCCAGTCCACCCCTGGCGGGCCAAGAGACTCGGCTGTAGCAGCTACAGGCAGGAGGGGCAGGAGGGATAGCAGTGGCGGCAGCAGCAGTGGCGGAAGCAGGAGAGGAAGCAGGGGAGGAGGGGGGGAGAGCGGTGCAAGTGGAGGGGGGTATGAGGAGGGGTGGGTGAGAGAAACGCACAGTGAAGGGGAGGAATTTTCAGAAGGGGAAGAGGAGGAGGAAGAGGAGGAAGAGGAGGAGGAGGAAGAGGGGGAGGAGGGGGAGGAGGAAGAGGAGGAAGAGGAGGAGGAGGAAGAGGGGGAGGAAGGGGAAGGGGAGGAGGATGATGATGTGTATTACGAGTCCAAGGTGTTGGGGGATGAGCCCATCTCAAGGCGACGAGTGGTGGAGCTGCTAGATCAGGTACGATGGCATGACAAGAATGATACGATGGGATGGTACGATGGACGTGGCCACTAGTGGACGACCAGCCATGAGGCCTTTTGAGGCGCCTCAAAAGGGGACGACCAGCCATGAGGCCCCAAAGAGAAGAAGAGGACGATGATGTGTATTACGTACGCGTCCAAGGTGTTGGGGGATGCGCTGCGCCCATCTCACGACGACGAGTGGTGGAGCTGCTAGATCAGGTGTCTGCCTTATTGGCATCACGCTCTTGCTGTCAGTGTGATGCAGCCTTCAATTTTGACTTGAACGATTTTCCGTTGACTCAAAAGTCACCTCGTTGCAATGGCACACGGCACACGGCCTGCTTGCGTCTTTCACTGATTCGGCGCGCCTTGACCTCTGATCACTCGTTCCCTCCTTCCCCGTTCTTCCCTCTCTCTTCCTCGCAGATGGACGCGTTCATAGAGGAGGGGCCGCACTGCAAGCTGGACGAGTACCTGCCCGCCATTGACCTGCTGTTGACGAGTGCAGTCTTGCACGTACACACCTCTCCGTATTCCCCCTTCCCCCTTGATACCCTCCCCGTCTCACCAACCCTGATGGACGCGTTCATAGAGGAGGGGCCGCACTGCAAGCTGGACGAGTACCTGCCCGCCATTGACCTGCTGTTGACGAGTGCAGTCTTGCACGTACACACCTCTCCGTATTCCCCCTTCCCCCTTGATACCCTCCCCGTCTCACCAACCCTGATGGACGCGTTCATAGAGGAGGGGCCGCACTGCAAGCTGGACGAGTACCTGCCCGCCATTGACCTGCTGTTGACGAGTGCAGTCTTGCACGTACACACCTCTCCTTATTCCCCCTTCCCCCTTGATACCCTCCCCGTCTCACCAACCCTGATGGACGCGTTCGTAGAGGAGGGGCCGCACTGCAAGCTGGACGAGTACCTGCCAGCCAGTCCCCCGACCTGCTGCTACTGCTGCTGCTGAGTGATACGGCGTGCCCTTCTTCCCGCCCCCCTTCCCCCCTGTTTCCACCCCTTTCACAGATGGACGCGTTCATAGAGGAGGGGCCGCACTGCAAGCTGGACGAGTACCTGCCCGCCATTGACCTGCTGCTCAGCGTCAGGGCGCTGCTGCTGGAGGCTCGTGACAAGGAGACCGGACGGCGCGCGGACGGCATGCTTCGGCGGGCCATGGAGGACCTGGAGTACGAATTTCGGGACATCTTGTCGAGAAGGAGGTGAGGTGCTATGCTTTGGGATTGGCTTGTGCCATGCTGCCGCTGTGGGTTTGGCTCGTGGCATGCGGTTGTTACTAGGCATGCTCCGGCGGGCCATGGAGGACCTGGAGTACGAGTTCAGAGACATCCTGTCGAGATGGAGGTGAGGAGCTCCGTATGTCATAAGCAGGGCCAGCCCACCCACAGCAGCAGCATGCCACAAGCCAACCCCACAGCACAGCACGCTCCGGCGGGCCATAGAGGACCTGGAGTACGAATTCAGAGACATCCTGTTGAGACGGAGGTGAGGTGCTGTGCGTACGTTGCTCAGGTGGAGGTCAGATGAACTTATGCTGCTGTCCATCCCAATCCTCTCCCTCATCCCTTCCCTTCCCTCTCCCCCTCCCCTTCCCCCTCCCCCCAACACCAGCCAGCAGGCATCCACTCGCTTCACTGTCGACACTCTCTCTCGAATCTTCCACCGCAACTTTTCTTGCCCTTCCCCCCCCACACACACACCCCTCCCCACACCAGCCAGCAGGCTTCCACTCGCTTCACTGTGGATACTCCCTCCCGCATCTTCCACCGTAACTTCTACCCCCTTGCCGCCACCACCACCGCCGCTGCTGCTGCTGCCTTGTCCCCATTCCCTTGCACACCTCAAACCCTTCCCCTTCTCCTTGCCCTTTCCGCTCCCCTTTGTCCCCACACACACCCCTCCCCAAACCAGCCAGCAGGCATCCACGCGATTCACAGTCGACACTCTCTCCCGCATCTTCCACCGCAACTTCTACCCTCCTGCTGCCACCTCCGCCGCTGCTGCAGCTGCTGCTGCCGCAACCAGCAGCGTTAGCACCAGCAGCAGCTCCCCTGAGAGCGGTGTGACAGGGGGTACCAGCGCGAGCAGCAGCAGGAACAGCACAGGGGGAGTGGGAGGGGCGGGAGGGGGCGGAGGGGGCGGAGGGGAAGGGGGTGTTGGCGGAGAGGGGATTGGGGGTTTGGATGAGGGGGAGTTGGAGGATGCGGATTCGCTGCATGTGCTGCCGGAAATTGCCGCCCGGTGGCTGAACCAGACGGCCGCCCGGCTGGTGGCGGGAGGGGAGAGCGTGCGCTGCGTGGAGGCCTTCAGGTGGGCTCAGGTGGATTCCGGGCTTTCAGGTGGATTCAGGTTTGCTCAGGAGTCAGGTGGATTCAGGTGGGCTCATGTGGATCCAGGTGGGCTTTTCAGTGGATGAAGTAGAACTCAGGGGGCTCAGGTGTATTCGGATGGGCTCAGGTGGATTCGCTCAGGTGGATTCGCTCAGGTGGATTTGGTTGAATACATAGACTTGGATGCATTGGCGCTTTCCTTCCCTTCCCCACACGTCAGGTCGGTGCGAGTGGACAGCCTCAAGGGCGCGCTGCAGCGGCTGGAGAGTGAGAGGCCGTGGATGGTGACAGCAGGGCAGATCGCAGACATGCCATGGGCGGAATTGGAGCCGCTCAGCAAGCAGTGGACTCAGGATATGTACATTCTGGTGCGTGGTTACTTTGAGGTGGTGCTGAGTGGTGGACTGCAGTGGTGTGTGGTGCTGGGTGGGTGGTGATGGTCACCTCAGTCTACACCACAATGAGTGCTGACAGACGGCAGGGCAGATCGCAGACATGCCATGGGCGGAGCTGGAGCCGCTCAGCAAGCAGTGGACTCAGGATATGTACATTCTGGTGCGCGGGCGATGATTTGGAGTGGTGGTGGGTGGTGGTGTGCGGTGCTGGGTGCTGGGTGGTGCTGGGTAGTGAGTGGTCTTCTGAACATGCTGTGGCCGTGGGCGGAGCTAGAGCTGCTGAGCAAGCAGTGGACTCAGGACATGTACATTCTGGTGCGTGGGTGGGTTCTGGGTGGTGGGTGCTGGGTGGTGGGTGGTGGGTGCTGGGTGTTTGTTTGTTGCGGCATTTGCTTCCCCTACCCGCCCCTCCCAACGACACAATCACGACGAGTGTCAATTTCCATCTTTTCCCCTCGTTCTCCCTCCATCCCCGCTCCTTCCCCCCTCCCCCTCTCCCTCCCCTCCCCCTCCCTCTCCCTCTCTCCTCCTCCCTCCCCAACTCTCCCTCCACCCTCTCCCCTCCTCCCCCCTCTCTCGACGTTTCCCCCCCTCCTCTTCGCAGGGTCGTCTGCTCCTGGGCATGGAGAGGAGGACAGCAGCAGCCGTGTGGCGAGGCATGCAGGTGAGAGGGGAGACGGGGGGGAGGGGGCGAGGGAGGGGTGAAGTGAATGGGCAGGGTCCTTCCTGGGTTAGAAGAGGGTACTGGTGATGAGGTGACTTTTGAGTCGACTCAAAAGTCACCTCGTTTTGAGTCGACTCAAAAGTCACCTCGTTTTGAGTCGACTCAAAAGTCACCTCGTTTTGAGTTGACTCTAAAGTCACCTCGTTTTGAGTCGACTCAAAAGGCAGGGTCCTTCCTGGGTTAGAAGAGGGTACTGGTGATGGGAGCGAGCACCAGGGGTGTACACTGAGAGTGAGAGCCATTTTGGAAGGCATTCATTCGCATGGCATGGGCGGGCAGGGACATAGCGGAGCAGTGCCACATGTGGCATGCGGTTTCCCCGTTATGCCACATGTTCCCTCCTCCCACCTACCCCCCCTGCTCCTCTCGTCTCCCGGCTATTTTTCTCTTCTCTCTCCCTCCTATTCTCGCCTACACTTCACTTCTCTCAGGTTCAGGAGCGCGGGGCGCTGAGGTCCATACTGGAGGACAGCGGAATGGGCAAGCGCACAGCTGAGCACGAATTGATCCTCCACCCTTCTCCCCATTCCCCCCCCTTTCCTTTCTCCCCCCTCTCTCAGGTGCACAAACGAGGAGCACTAAGAGCAATCCTGGAGGACAGCGGAATGGGCAAGCGCACAGCGGAGCACGCCTTGATCCTCCACCCTTCTCCCCATTCCCCCCCCTTTCCTTTCTCCCCCCTCTCTCAGGTGCACAAACGAGGAGCACTAAGAGCAATTCTGGAGGACAGCGGGATGGGCAAGCGCACAGCAGAGCACGAATTGATTCTCCGTTCTCTTATGACACATGTTCCCCTCTTGTGTGCCTTGCGCTGTGTGCTTTTCTCAGGTGCACGAGCGCGGGGCGCTGAGGGCAATACTGGAGGACAGCGGGATGGGCAAGCGCATAGCTGAGCACGCCTTGATCCTCCGCGCCATTATCGCCCGCAACCTGCCCGAGCAGCTCTTCTCGCTGCTCGATGCTTTCCGGGCTGCCCAAGAAGTCATGCCAGAGGTAGGTCTTGATTTTTTATGTTCATGTTATGTTATATTGTTTTGCAAAAACAAGCAAACAAACAAACAAACAAACAAACAAACAAGCAAGCAAAACTACATTTGTAGCTTGCGTGTATGCTTGTCGAATTGTGAGGCGCGCGAGAAGAAGTCAGCCCAAGAAGACATGCCGGCCCACTCCTTCCTGGTTTCCCAATGCAGCTATCCGCCACGATCAACCTTCTCAAGATGGAGGCGGTGTGGCCGGCCTGCCAGCACCTCCCGCTGCTCATCGCGCGGGCCGTGGCCGACACATTCGACCGCTTCAAAGCCCTCCTCGAGACCTCCACTAAGTCCGCCCAGGCCATGGCTGCTGCTGCCCCGCCCCTCTCCTCCTCCTCTGCTTCCCCCTCCCCCTCTGCATCTGGTGCTGCTGCTGCCGCTGCTGGGGAGGCAGTGGGCGGTGGAGGAGGGGAGGGTGGAGAAGGGGAGAAGAAAGCATCACTTGCAAAGTTGTTCAGGTGGGTGCTTTTGTTTCGTTCACGTGGGTGGTGTTGATCGGGTGGGTACTTCAAAGCACTCCTCGAAACCTCCACCAAGTCCGCCCAGGCCATGGCTGCCGCTGCTCCGCCGCTCTCCTCCTCCTCCTCTGCTTCCCCCTCCCCCTCTGCCTCTGGTGCTGCCGCTGGCGCCGGTGGCGGTGGGGAGGCAGCGGGCGGTGGAGGAGGGGAGGGTGAGGAGGGGGAGAAGAAGGCTTCGCTCGCAAAGCTGTTCAGGTAGCGCGGTTCAGTTGTGCCTGAGCCAAGCCTGAGCTTGGTTCAGTTAATGCATGCAGGATAAGCCTGAGCCAAGTAGGTTGCGCAGTGATCGTTTGCTCTTGCATTCATGCAACTCAAGCTGTAAAAGGTGACCACTCTTTCCATCCCTCTCCACCTCTCTCTATCCCTCTTTCTACCGCAGAATGCCGTTCCTGGGTCGCACAGTGAGCACCATATCAGCATCACCAGCAGCAGACGAGAGCACTAAGTCAGGCCATTCCCCATTCTTCCCTTCTCCCTTGCTCTTCATTCCCTTCATCCCATGCCTAACTATCCCTTTCCACCCCTTTCCATCCCTCTCCATTCCCCCCCACCGCAGAATGCCGTTCCTGGGTCGCAATGCGAGCACCACCTCGGCATCGCCAGCAGCGGAGGAGAGCACGCAGGACGCCATGCCCCCGGGGGGAGTAGTTGATCCAATCACCAGCTACGTGGCCAACTATATCCGCAGCTACATGCGCCGGTGCGTGCTGCTGTGTGTGTTGTCTGTGTTTGGTTGCGTGCGTGCGTGCGTGCGTGTGTTCTTAACATGGGGTTTTGTGACCCATCAGAGTGCGTGGGACAGCGTATGTTTGCTGGAAACGCATCAGCGTGGCATGGTGATAGAAAACGCATTGTAGCTGCCTGGGAGAGGATGGGGAAAGAGAGCGGCCGGAGGGGTGGGAGGAGAAGCCTTTGAGCCTCTAGCAGCCCCACTCATCCTGTGCCTTTCGCTCCCGCCGCCTTTCGACTCAATAATCGCCTTTGAGCCTCTAGCAACCCCACTCATCCTGTGCCTTTCGCTCCCGCCGCCCCTCTCCCCTCCACCCCGCAGCGTCCCATCCACCCACAACAGCTATCTCGACGTGCTCGCCTCGCTCTTTCACCTGCTGGAGGAACAAGGAGCAGCGAGTGACGAGGAGGAGGAAGAGGCGGATGGGGGAGAAGGAGAGAAGGAGGGCGGCAAAGGGAGCAAGTCGAAGGGCGATGGGAAGACCGCAGGCGGCGGGAAGGCGGCGGGTGGGAAGGGGGACAGCGGGAGAGACGGTGGGAAAGACGGTGGGAAGGCGGGGGATGGGAAGTGGAAGCGAGGGGGAGGGCAGCAGCACGCGGGGAGGAGTGCGGAGAGTGAGACGGCGCACCTGCTGAGCGCGCTGGTGGTGAATCTGGAGGCACGCGGTGGGCTGTATCGCGAGGAAGAGCTGCAGCACCTGTTCCTCATGAACAACACTCACTACCTCGTGCAGTCCGCGTGAGTAACAGCAGTGGTGTATGTATATAGGTGTGCCCACAGGTACATACTGGGTTGAGAGCAGGAGCTGCAGCACCTGTTCCTCATGAACGACATGCACTACCTCGTGCAGTCCACGTGAGTAGGAGGAGCAGTGGTGTATGTATACAGGTGTGCTCTCAGTGCTGAGTGGTACTGCTGCAAGTTGACGGACTGAACTGAACACCCGTTCCTCTCTCTGACTTCCCCCCCTCTTCTCCCTTCCCTTGTGCCCTACCACAACCAAACCCCCTCTTCCCCCTTCCGTTCTGCCCTACTACTCACAGCGCTGACTGGTATCGCTGGCACGTGGACAGCTTGAATGAACCACCCGCTCTCACTCCCACTCGCTCCCTCGCATTTCCCCCTATCGGCCTCTCCCTCTTTCCCCCCCTTCCCCCCCCTGTTGTGCCCCTGTGTGCCCACACAGTGCTGACTGGTACTGCTGGCACGTGGACAGCCTGAACCACCCACTCTCGCTCCCACTCGCTCCCTTCACGTTTCCCCTTGTTGCCCCCCTCAACTCCTCCCCCCCTGTTGTTGCCCGCTGTTGTGCCGACAGAGCTGACTGGTACCGCTGGCACGTGGACAGCCTGAACCACCCACTCTCACAAGCTCGCAAGTAAGCCATCACTCGCACCCCTTGCTGCTTGATGCTAGCACGCAGGTCTTTGTGTCGATTTCTCCATTTTTTATCCCGCTGGTGCCTCCTGAGTCGACTCAAGGCCGATTTTCCCAGCGGAATTACAGGCCTGTAAGCTCACAACAGCTCCCTCCGTCCATTTTTTCATCTCCGCCCCTGTCCTCCCCTCCTTCCACCCCTCCCAAACCAAACCCCAGGGAGGGCGCGAGGGACCTGACAGCAGCCATGGCGGATCTGAGGGACGGCCACATTGTGCAGCTTCATGCTACAGCCTTTCAGAGCCGCGCGCTGGCTGCTGTGAGTGGTTGGAGTGACAGGGAGGAAGCATAGAAGGGAGCATAGAAGGGAGCATAGAAGGGAGCATAGGAGGGGAGTATAGGAAGGGAGTGCGGGGACTGAAGGCACTTGAACGGATCTGAGGGACGGCCACATTGTGCAGCTTCATGCTACAGCCTTCCAGAGCCGCGCGCTGGCTGCTGTGAGTGGTTGGAGTGACAGGGGAGGAGAGAGGAGAGGGCCAGGAGCCCAACCACTCACAGCAGCCAGCGCGCGGCTCTGGAAGGCTTATGGCTGCTGTGAGTGGTTGGGGGAGAGGGGAGGAGAGAGGAGCGGGCCAGCCAGCGACTTTTGAGAATTCTCAAAAGTCACTCCAATATGGTTGGGGGAGAGGGGAGGAGAGAGGAGAGGGCCAGCCAGCGGGAGACGGGTGATGGAGGAGGGAGAGGGACAGGAGTTGAGGGTTGAGGGGTGAGAGGGGGAGGGTGGGAAAGGTGAGAGGCGCCTGCTAGCCAGTCCTCCCGTGGGTACAGCTGTGCGTGGGGAGGGGAGTATTGTGGGCGAGAGGGAGGAGGGGAAAGGTGAGAGGCTGAGAAGCAGCCATTGTTGGTTGAGGATGAGGGTCTTGTGGGGGTGAAATGGATGGGGTTTTAGGGTTTAGGGTATGGAGCTGCCGGGGGGCATGTGATGGAGCTGCCGGGGGGCATGTGATGGAGCTGCCGGGGGGCATGTGATGGAGCTGCCGGGGGGCATGTGATGGAGCTGCCGGGGGGCATGTGATGGAGCTGCCGGGGGGCATGTGATGGAGCTGTTCCGTTGTGGGGGGGATGGGAAAGTGAAGGCCAGCAGTCCATGGCCACATTACTCCTCTCATTCTCCCTGCTTCCCTAAGATCGTGCCTGACTCTCTCCCCTTCCTGCCCTCCCTCCCTCCCTCCCTCCCTCCCTCCCTCCCTCCCTCCCTCCCTCCCTCCCTCCCTCCCTCCCTCCCTCCCTGTCTGCATCCCTACCATCGCGCCACAGGTCATGGCAGCACTCACAGATGAGCCTCCCCGGGGCACACCTGACTCTGTCAAGCTCAGACTCAACAGGTCAGCCTCCTTCCTCTGAGTCAACTCAGAACAGAAATCGAATGAGCCTCCCCCGGGCACACCTGACTGACTCTGCCACGCTCAGACTCAACAGGTCAGCCTCCTCCCTCTGAGTCAACTCAGAACAGAAATCAAATGAGCCTCCCCCGGGCACACCTGACTGACTCTGCCACGCTCAGACTCAACAGGCAAGCCTCCTCTTTCCTCTCACCTTTTCTTTCCTCTCCTGTTGACTCTCACCACACAATGCAACCCTCCTGCGCAGCAGCACACCCTACCAAACCCTCCGCACCCCTCCTCGCCACTACTCACCTCTTCTCAACCCTTTCCATCCCTCCCCATCCCTTCCCACACCCTCCGCCCATCACCATCTCCCCATTCCCACTCGTCCAGGCCATGTCGCTTTAAATTTGCCCACTTCACCTCTTTCTCTCACCATCCCCTCCCACTTCATCTCTTCCTCTCAGCATCCCCCACCGTCCCCCGCCATGCTTCACCATGCTTCCCTCCCTCCTTCCAGGTTGCAGCGGTTCAACGGGGCGTTTGGGGCGCTGGTAACATGGAAGCGCCGGTGGTGAATTCCCGACGAGGTTCACCGTACTCCACCATCCCCCACCGCATCGCACCACCTGCCCCCATCCCCCACCTCAGGTTGCGGCGGTTCAACGGGGCGTTTGAGGCGCTGGTGGCGAGGCAGCGGCGGTGGTGCATTCCCGATGAGGAGCTGCGGAGGAAGACCCGCGCCAAGTGGTCTACTGTGCTGCGCGAGCGATACCGCAAGATGCTGCTGCCCTTCTGGTGAGACGGTGTGTGCAGTTGTCAGTTGACTAACGTTTGACCTGAGTTTGACTTGAATGGGTTTGAGCTGAGCTGACCTGGAAGACCCGCGCCAAGTGGTCTACTGTGCTGCGCGAACGATACCGCAAGATGCTGCTGCCCTTCTGGTGAGTGAGAGTGACAAGTGTGTGCAGCTGTGAGTTGAGTTGACTTGAGCTGACTTTGAGCTGTTGACTTTCTTGACCCGCGTCAACTGGTCTACGGTGCTGCGCGAACGATACCGCAAGATGCTGCTGCCCTTCTGGTAAGTGAGAGTGACAAGTGTGTGCAGCCGTAAGTTGAGTTGACTTGAGCTGACTTTGAGCTGTTGACTTTGAAGACCCGCGTCAAGTGGTCTACGGTGCTGCGCGAACGATACCGCAAGATGCTGCTGCCTTTCTAGTGAGAGTCACAGGCAGTGTGTGCAGTTGACCAGCATTGACCTGAGTTGACCTGAGTTGGCTTACTTGAGTTGACTAATTTCTACCTGGACGACCCATGCCAAGTGGGCCACACTGCTGGCGAGCGAGCAATACAGCAAGATGCTTCTGCCCTTCTGGTGAGCGTGTCCGGCAGTTGATTCGAGTTGACTGTAGTAGACTTACGTTGCCGTGAGTTGAGTTGACTTGACTTATGCCAACTCATACCATTTGAGCTGACATGCCAAGTGATTGGTAGTGCTGTGGAAGAGGTGTTGCAAGATGCTGGTGCCCTTCTGGTAAGAGGAAACGGCAGGCAATGCCTGCAGCTGACTTGCCTAGATTTGTTTGGAGATGACCCTGTGTTTTTTGGTTCTACAGTAGAGATGTCACAAGATGCTGCTTGCTTTCTCAATACAGGAAAAGAAAACAGCCTAAGCTGACAATAACAATGTGGTTCGTGTGACTCACAACATCTTGTCCCTGTTCTATTCTTTCCATCTCCTTTCGACCCTCTTTTCCGGAACATTGCGCATTTGAAGGGATGACTTGACTTCAAGTAAGCTGTTTGTGTACACTCCGGAAAGCATTGAGGCGACAATTTCAGAGACATTTTTTATAGGCCCGAGCACTTAGGATGTGTTTTGAATGTATCGCAGCACTCTATTCTCCCGATGGGTTTTCCAGCTTGTGTAGTATTGCTTGCATGAGAGGTATGCTCATGCTCTCCATACAAAAAGGATCTTGAGTAAAGGTTTGCGCTGTCGATTCTAGAAGCTATCCACACGCTTAATGCAAAAATCACTTTTAACAGTAGTGGATACATTTTACCTGAATATATGCAGATGTGTATCATTCCATGTCTTTCTGAGCTGTTCGCTGTTTTGGGGTTGTCTCATCTGCATTAACTTAGGTGGGTCAATCTGCCATCCAAGCTGGCAAGCACAGAGTGTGCTTCATGAGCTCTGATTGGATGGTCCTTAGGACCAGTCTAGACACATGTGCCGACCTTAAATTTGACTATCGGATCCACCTGTGACCATATGGCATCTGTTGTAGAGACTGGCAGGACTGAACACCTTGAGAACCAGAGAAACTGGCGGAGCACCAGGTATGCGATTATAGTTTTTTTATATCTGAGCTCTGCACAACAAATATATTCTCTATTATGCTAGCTAATTTCACAGGTGTCGGTAACTGGGTTAGGCCAAAGTTAGCAGTTTTCATTTTGTTTATAATTCCTCGTATCAAATATTAATTTTTGGGAATCGAATAATAGCCTCAATGAGTGAAGTCATCAAGAAAAATATTTGTTATTTACGTAATTACATGAGAACTTATTATATACTTGAAGCACTTGTTGATTTATATGATTTTCTCTTGTAGAAATGTTTCTTTACTGAATTTTAATTATTAAAAAAAATTTCAAGCCCTCGTATTGACTAACATTTTAGAGCCCCACCTTTATTCTTTGGACCTCGATACAGTTCATACAGCGCTGATTTTTTCTTCATATATCGTTTTTCGCAAGGCCTTACTAGATATCCAATAATATTTTGCATCCATAAATTATGATATAACGCATTTCTTATTGTGTCTCACAAAGATGAAACTCAATTATGCTCTTGTTTGCTCTAAAATACTACTACATGTCTATAAACATTTTTTCTTTGTATATGTCAACGTATATGATTTCGATTGAAACATTTGCAGACAGCTTGTGCATGAGGGAAAATTTAATACGATAGTATGATATCGAGGTGAGCAAAAATCCGAAACACCATGCTTTAATGCGTTTATGGTCCCCTACTCCAAATGGTTTTCATTTTTGCAGCTGGCTTTCTGGGTGGAGTTGGGCGGGGATTTGTTTTGCTGTATTCAGATCCATTACAAACTATGTTTGGAATTTCTTAAGGCAGGGAAATACATTCAGGCTCAATCCAGATTGTGCTCTTCGAAAAAAATGACATTATTGGCTGATGTTGTTGTCTTGAATCCTTTGTAGACACCCCCAAGGTCCCCACCCCATCCTGCCATTTGTGCCTGTACTGCTGTGCTGTACTGTATCCGTTTTTGTTGCATACTGTACAACTGTCATTCGCGAGTTGAATCGTTCTCACCTCCAGTGTTGTCGTCTGGTTCGGTGCACTGCTGATGACATTTTGCAAGTCTGCCACCGCCTGAATCCTTTTTAGGACCGCCTCTCTCCCACTCTGCCTGTGTTCCCACCGTCATCCCTACCGTTGATGCGTCGCTTTCTCCATCACTTCACGCCACACCACACTCCACCCATATCCATTCTTGGGGCATCATCCTCCTCCCTCCCTCTCCCCTCCTAACTCCCTTTCTTCCCTCCCCTTCTCCCCCTCCGCAGCCAATTCATAGGCGCCCACCCAAATCCACCCTCCCTCGTTATGTACACCCTGTTTCGCGCTAGCAGAGCATCTGGTTGCAGAACATGCACAGGTTGTAGAACGTCACCACGTTTGAAATGGTCTTATCACCGACGGTACAAGCACATTCACAAGAAAGCGGTTAGCTAGGATGCTGCATGGTAAAGAACATTAACCAAGCGTTTTAAAGCGGTTGAAAAGGGTATACATCGATAAAGAAAAAATTTGCCCCCAGTACCACTCCGTCAGCTGGTGCGGCTTTGCCCGCAGGTTTCAGCCATACGGTTTATGGCACCTGACCGCACTGTAGCAGCGAATCGCGCAAGGTGAGAGGGTCGAGAAACAGGGTGTATTCGTCGGCCCTTGTTTCTTGTTCCTTCGTCAGCCCTTGTTTCTTCCTCCAGGGGTGACCTCTCCACCCTTGATACCGTATTCGTACGGGCGTACGTATCTGTAAGGTCTGTTACTGTATGTGTGCTCGATTGCACGTGGAAGTCTCGTTCAGTGACTACTGAACGACAATCGCGTCGCATGCTGACGCATCATAACGAGGATCACTGGACGATGCCCTTTTTCCCGCCTCTTTTCACGTGCTGTAGCAAAGTGCACAAGCCCACATCTTGGTGTGCTGTATGGCGGTACACGCCAATTGTGTACCCACCAACAAGTTCGATTTCCTTCAGTATCGTTCTTGCAGGCTTTGGCGCGTCTCAGAAGGTTTTAGTACGGTTTCGAGTCGATCAGCGAAAATATACTTCGATATTACCGAATGTTACCACCTTCGATACTACAGAATGGTCACTCACCTGTTCCGTGGAACTTTGACTCGACACACGGTGCAGCTGAGAAATGCAGTACAAGTGCAACTGCAATAATTCCACACCCCGTACGCTTCCCTAGCCACCCTAAATAGTTTTTGGTTCGAAGACACGGGAGCCCTGAAAATATTGGTCTATAGTTGAAATACCGGAACGTCCAGCCTCACGAAACTTACGCTTTACAGTCAGATTGAGAGGGGAAATCTCCACATCATGCTTGTAATTCGGGAAATCTCGCCACGGGATTGCGTGAGTGTGACCTATATAATTCAAATAATGTGTGAGCCGCTCTCAAAATCAGACTAAATGAGGGTGTTCACCCCCGGGCATGAATATGGGGGTGTGGAATTATCGCAGTTCCGGTACAGTGCAACATAGTTGAGCGCGCACCGTGTGTGTTGTTTGCGGGAGCTGCTGCTTTATGTTTACGGTAGGGTTGTTTACTTCAGTCGCTTAGCGCTGGTCCTACGCGTCGAAGTGAAAAAAGGACGCGACTTTCAGGACTGGTTCTTCTCACTCTTCTGTTACGAGACTCTAAGCTGCTCGTTTGTCTTGCCCATTAGTCCAAACCACTTCAGGACTAGTACCCGTCTTCATGGTGTCCCAACTTCGGAACGCCATCTAATGAGAAGCAGTTATGTTAGCTCACCACTTACTTTATATAGTAAAGAGTCGGCGGCCATTTAGTATCCGCAGTAACTGTAACATTATTTTCAGGTGTCTGGAGAATTAGGTCAGTGCCAGCCCACTAGTTCCCATTGTTCCTGGCGTTTCTTTTAATATCTCTCGCGGTGTGCTCCCTCGCATTATCCCGCCCGCACTCCGCCTGGATCCATTTCGTCTAGGCCCTAAACCAACTTCATGTCGCCACAGGTTTTGCGCGCTTCGGCGCCGCGAATGCTTCCAACCATGTCAGCATCGCACCATCTTCACTCCACTACTGGAGGATCGCGCCTTTCGCGCTCGTCCGCCGCTGCTACAGGATGCGCCGCACCACCCGCCGCATCACCCGCCGTACCACCCGCCGCATCATCCGCCGCACCGACCGCTGATGACTCCTGCGGAGTGAGAGCGGTCCCGGCTGTCGCCGCCGCAACTTCTGCGGATGCCTGCAGTCCGCACGAACGCTCGTTTTCTCCCCGCGGCAAGCGCGCCGCCGAGTGCCGCCGCGCTCCACGGCTCAGACACTCGCGCTCTTTTTCCGGAGACTTCCCCACTTTTCATGCCATTGCGCCCAGGTCCCCCGCCCATTCCGCCATTCCCGCCTCCAACAGCCCTCTTAGCAGAAGGCCCCGCGAGGACCCCGTGGAAACCGCCGCTTATCCCGGCGACGGGACGTGTTCTCCTGCTTCCCCCGTCTCTGGCGGAGAATTTTTCGCCCAGAGCGGAGACACAGCGAACGGCGCACGGCTTTCTGCGCAACGATGGTCGCTGCCGCCGGGAACGAGCGTCGACGGCGGGGTTGGTATGGGGGATTGTCCCCTCACGGGTGGGTTAAGCGGCAGCGGTCCTGGGAGCAGCGGCGGTGCTGATGTGGCGTTTCTGACGAGCCAGTCGCCGCGAATTGACCTTTTAAGGAGATTGAAAATGGAAGCGGCTGTCGCGGCGTCGTCGTGCGATTCGCCGTCTTTTTTCTCCCCGTCGCACGCCGCGGCGTCGACGAATGCGCGCGATTCGTTCTTTTTGTTTGAGCGACAAGGAAGCATCGGCTTGCTCAGCGACGGGTCGTGCGACCTCGGCGACGACGGGAGTGGGAGCTTCTTTCGTGTCCCTGCGAAAGGTTCCGCTGGCGAAACCTTCAGTAACTTGTTTCGCTTGAGGGGCGTACTCGGGAGCAGAGGCAGCGGCAGTGGCGATAGCGGCAGTTTCGGCGGCGGAAGCGGAAGTTTCAGTAACGGTGGGGGAAGCGGAAGCTTGAACGGGGGGGGAAGCGGGAGCTTCAGCTGCGGGGTTACTGTTGGTGGTACTAACCTGGGCGGCAGGGGTGGCAGCGCTAGGCGGGTGAGCATATCTGAGGAAGATTTTTGGGCGGCGGTCAGTTATTCTGACGATGGTGATTCTCATCCCGGCCCTCCGCCTTATCCTTCTCATCATTCTCATCCCCCCTATAATTATTCCCGTGATTCGCATCAACTTGATGCAAATACTCGAGCTCATCAACTGCCAGAAGAACTCGTTCCGCCTCAACGCGTTACGTCTATAACGGTCATAGCTAGGACGGTGTCGCCCCTCGTAGGTGCTCCGGTCTCGCCTCTCCCTGCCCCTGCCCCTGCTGCTGCTGCTGCTGCTGCTACCGCTGGAGAAGTCGCTACAGGCGGTGTCGAGGGCTGCGCGGCGAATTCTGCCGCTGCCGCGTCTCCTCCCGCACCTCCCTCGTTACCAGTTTCTCCCGTCGACGACGGGCCTGCCGCTGCCTTCCTCGAAG